CCATTGCAGTCTCTGGAACGTTATAGGAGCTGCTCTCTAGCAGCTTAATGATTTTTGGTATCTCAGTCTTGATCTCCACATTAAATTCAGCTTTGGAGAGCTTTAGCTTATTTCATATTTATCCCAGTCTTACTGACCTTGTGCCGCGATGTTACCTATCGCTTTTACTGCGCTATTCTGACTATCATAAGAAGAGCCACCAGAAAGCAGTTCGATAACTCTCGGTATCCCGGGTCTGATTTCCAAGTGAAATTCCGCTTTGAAGGCTATCAGTGTGCTTGAATTTTGTCCCATTGTTACTGACATTGTGTCACAAGGCTGCCTATCGCCTCTACTGCGCTAAATTGAACCTGATGATCCTTGTCAGCGAGCAGGTTGACGATACTTGGTATCGCATCTTTGATCTCCGAGTGGAAATGTGCTTTGGAAGCTGTGAGTTTTTTCAACGTCGATGTGGACGTTACTGACCTTGTGACGCAAGATTAACTATCATTTTTACTGCGCCACCTCGCACCGAATAAGAGCTGTCGGCGAGTAGTTTAACGATCTTTTGTAGCCCCAATTTGACCTCTGATTGGAATTCATGCCCTGTAGTTGTTAATTATTTGGCTCCTCATCTCAACACCACATACCTTGACATGCGAAGTGCTGAATTATCTGCAGTGCGGTACAGGCAACCTCCTGAGACTTATTTTCGAGTAGCTTTACAGCGCTTGAGATGACGGTTTTGACCTCATTCGTGAAGACCGCTTCTCCGTCGATTAGATGTACGTATTTCGCCTGCAAATAGTATCACTTACCCTGAAGAGCAAAACATCTCGTTACATCACTGATGATATTCTGCACTTTTATCTCCGATGCTAATAGTTTGGAGGTTCTGGGTATCATGGCTTTGATTTCGGTTTGTAGCTCGGCTATAGCGTCATGAGCGTAGTTTATTTGGACCTAGTCACCTACCATGACGTGAAAGAATAAGACTTGCATTGACCGATCCATCCCAACATTCGTGTTGTTCATTCTCCACAAGCTTCGCGATTTGGGTTGTTCCCCGGTTCATATGTTTACGAAGGTTCTCTGTGTGCAATGAGTGACTATGTTCTTCCGATACGTCTCTCTCACCATTCTGCGCTAAAGCCGTCACCGCCGCCAGTACCCCAAGAGTTTGCTCCCTATTTCTTGTTCCTACAAGCTCTTCAAATGCACTTTCGAATTCAATACGTAATTGATCTGCTTGAACAGTCAGGGAATTTGTCAGGAGGGAGAACGATATCAATTACGGTCCACGGATGTTCGCATAAGCGCTTCTATTGCTCCTTCTCTAACCCCTGGATCCCCGTCCAGACATAATCTACAAAGAGCTTGAGGAATCAGAGCATAGTCTCTCGTCCAATTACCACCTAGATCACTGCTGTTCGACTTTACGAGTTGCTGGGTCAGAGCACGAATATCACCTTTACTTATCGTCAGTGCGGTATACCTCTCTTAAGAGATTTACTTACTCGACAGTAGCAAGTCGGATGTAATCACTCCACACATTCTCCTTATATTTTCTTTTCCGTCTTTGACACCCATTGTTGCGGCATTGAAGAGAATATCCTTCATCCATGGAACTGATGGGTCGTTCACGACTTTGACGAGTCCGAGAATATGCTCCTGCCAATTGGTGTCGGAATCGTCGATATTACAGTTTACGAGAATATGTAGACGGAGAATGAATGCCAGTGGTTGTTCGTTAGGCTTAAAGTCTTGCCATCGGTGTAGAACACCTCCTTCTTGGAGCAACAATTCGAATGGGGAATCATTCGAGCGTTCTCTCGAGGCGTTCCATAGTTCGAGTTGCAGCATAACATACAACAGAATGCTATTCCACTCTTCATCTCTCTCGGAGGTTCGAGCCTGTGTCAGGTACGGTGGTAGTCTTGTCTTGAGGATAGCGAGAGCACCGGACTCGATCAAGTCGTCCCATAGCACTTGTGTCCATTCAACACCTGCTAACGCTTTCAGTGTCTCTTTT